CTGTACTCAGCAAGCGCAGTACAGCCCCCAATGAAAAAAATCAGTGGATGGTTGTTTTCTGACTGGTCAACAGCCCGCCGACTGGTCGTCCCTACTGGTCGGCTGCAAAACGGTCGGCGGTCGCGGTCGGCAGTCCACAGAGTATGCATCCCTGCCCAAATGCACTTTTCAGTGCTGGGGGGGTTAACCTGGGGCTGAAAAGTGAGGTTCCCTGTTAACCACTTGTCAGGGATTCCACAACAGCACTGGAGACAGAAGTTCTGAAGCAAAGAGAGAGCCGAAGTGCCAAATTGCCAATCTGAGTGATGGACAACTGGAATAGCCACTCGCAAGATGCGACCGAAGAAAGACATACACCCAAGAAGGGTAGAGGGGGAGGAAGCAAGCAAGGGCATCACATGCGCAAAAGAAACCCATTCAACAGAAAGCTTCAATCACGTCCAAAGCAATTTCAGCAGTCTTGATTTAGACCAGTCAATCAATGAAGCAGCAAATGACACCGTGTAAACACCAGAAGGGAATGAGACAGAAGACAACGAACAACTTTTCTACAACAAGTGGTCTTCTGCCACAGCTTCGCTTGCGGCAGAACAAAATTGTGCGAGGACACTTTTCTCTCGGCAGCAGCACTACAGAAGAACAGACACTCACACAGGCAACATGAAGTACAACAAGGCCCTATGCATGGCTATCCAGTACCGTGCGGGCTGGGCGGTTTTATGGGGCTTGGGTCACAGTGATACCATGTTGAGTGATACCATGTGGACAGGCAGTAGCACGCCGCATGACTCATACGATGCCGACTGGAGGGTACCAGCACACAGCAGACTGGCTCTTTTCTAAATGTATCTGACTGCAATTGCGGCCAGACGTGGATGCATCTGGCTGCAATCACGTCCAGAGACACTCTGCTAAATCATGCCAATCTGCACGCACCTAAATTAATCCGACAATTTCTCCAACAAAAATCCATTGCCTGACCGAAATCGCACCCACATGCCAAAAGACGAAAAGCCTTCGCGCGAGACGTTTTGATGGCGACGTGGCAAAACAGTTGAAGAAGACACTCACCCAGCCAGCCTTTGCTCAAGCAGTTTGAATGGCCGCATGGCAGGGTCGCATACCTGTCAACCACTGACCGTTTCGGAGCCTACCAGTAGGGCCCACCCGTCAGCGGTCTGCCGACAGGTCTGTACAGGGCCATCCACTGATTTTTTTATCAAATCTGAGTTCAGGGCTGTACTGCACTTGCGGAGTACAGCCCAAATCCACTGAGAAACTTTTGAGGAAGGAGAGGGGGGGGAGAGGGGCTTACATGGGGGGTTATGGGGAGGTTTACAGGGGGTATGAGGGTATTGGGGGGCGGTTTGGGGGTGTTGGGGGGAAGGGGGTAATAGGGTTGTTGGTGGGGTTATTGGGGGTTACAGAGCCCGCAAGTTTTTTATTTTTTTTATTTTTTTGGTGGGCTCCCAACCAGCCACCGAGCATAAGGTGCCGACGGGTGGAACGGTCGGCTGGATGGCAGCCAATCAATCCAGGGGTCCTGACCGTCAGCGTATCTACTCTGCCGCACGGCAAAAAAGAAAGACCTGCCGGAATTGCCAAAAAACACCACAAAGCCAGTCAAAAGTCACACGGCCCACACTTTGGTTGGGCCCAGAGGGGAAAGGGTCTCCCAGGACTGTGTCACGTGAGACCCTCTATTCCCTTCAAGACCTTTACGATCCCTTTCAGACCATTAAGAAAAGAAGATAGAGATTATAGGGATTACCAAACAACAGGAGTTCCAATGTTTTCCAATGTCATGCTCTAGTTCTCCTCCAGGATCAAACTCTCCTCCGCTGACCAACTCAGATCAATCAACCCACTTAATATGGCAATATGTACACCCAAGCTAAAACAGTACAGTCTGCCGCACACTAGAACTCACTGGTCTTCTCTCACCAGATCACTCTGAAGCCCAGCACTAGTCAATCTAAGCCTCCCACGTAATTTTGCAGGGCCCTAAGTGAGGGCCCGGCGCCTGCACAAGTTTCGCAGAGCCATCCATGACGGGCCCAGCAGTGGAAAATGAGGTCAGAACGGTCGCAGTACCGGCCCAGGTACTTGACATCCCGGCAGGCCACAGCTGCTTCCGGAAGGCACGGGGAGGCAGTCTCTACCAGTCTGCTCCAATCCCGGCCTGGCATCTACTGGCCGGTTACCACGGGGGAGCCAAAAAGCACCAGCCATAGCTCGGGTGGGTGCCTGGGAGGTCGTGGCACATGGAAGGGAGATCCTGGGAGACCGTAGGGGGAAGGGTGTGGTGCAGGACATACCTGGTGCTGATGGCCAATAAGAGCTTCAGTCTGGTACACCTGTATGTGCAGCATGGTAGTCTGCAGCATTGTTTCATGTGGGTGAGTAGAGCTCACAGGGGGCTGGCTGGGCTGGCTGTGAGATCACCAAGGGCAGCGAACTGTCATTTTTGTTGTCTTGATTGTTGGGAGTCGCGGAGGGTTGTTTTTTCACCAAGAGACTACAGCATTGTCCACTATTATGCTGGTGTGACCATCGCTTTGTCATTTCTGCTATTTGCCTTGTCGCCATATAAATGATGGTAATGAGAGTTCATTGTGCTTGCATACAGAGTGTCTCCAGGGTGGTTTCCTAGCACTTGCAGTCTTTTTCAATGCCACCTCACCCCACAATGGGTATGACAGCTTCCACGCCATAACCTATTCAGCCGCTATTTTCTGCTTCCCCCATGGTCTCCCTGCCTTACTCACCCCAATAGAACGCCCTGTCACTATAGTGAAACGGTATTCACCACTTCGTGGTAGCTGAGGTAGATCCCAGGGCTCGATCCCTAGTTTCCCAACTTACCTGTGTACAATACCAGCGTCAACTCGAAGAGTTGAACCTGCGACCTGTAG